AGCCCCTGGCCATTGACAGCTGCTCTGTACCCAAGTTTTGGTCCCAATTTAGCAGCCCCAGGTCAGGGTGAGAGCAGTTCAAGGGTTCCAGAGCAGGGGGAGGGCTCTGTGGCCGTGCCCCAGGCGGTGCCAGCGCCTTTGTGCCGCCCAAGCTCCCCCTGGGCTGTGCTCATTTTTTGTCACCATATTGGGGCAAGCCGGGCTGTTTTGTCACTGCACACTAATCTGACATCTGATGTCTGCCTCCCATCATTGTCTGTGGCACAGCTGGATCCAGCCCAGCAACACCCACCACACTCGCACCCTTTAGTCCTCCCTTCCCGGCGCCCGGTGCCTGATTTGTGGGAGGCCGAAAGGGCTGGGAAAAAATCAATTATTGATGCAACAGCCCTTTGCAACCACTTTGCACGGGCAGGTACAGAGGGAGGGGCGGTGGGAAGTCACTCTGCTGCCTGTTGGCACTCGTGTGGCTGGGTTTGACCAGTTAAACCCACCAGTTAAACTGGTGCACTGGCTTAGGGGGCTCCCCAAATCCATGGCAGCCCCACCTCTGCAGGCCCGCTCGCTGCTGCAGCTGCTCCCACACCTGCCTATTCACAGCCTCCAAGGGGCCTTCTTTTTACCCCCCCCCCCCCCAAAAGTTGCTGCTGCAAATTCACCCAACCTCACACAACTTCCCATCCCAGTTATTAGCGGGAATCTCGAGTCAGACCTTTCAGGAAGCCCAGCGAGGTATCAGTTGTTAACTTAACACAGCTCTGCAGGAGGATGAGAGCTGAGGTCGTGACCTTATAATGGTCAACCAGCCTATTAGTTTAGCAACGAGGGACTCAAATGTCATCTCAGCACCCGTCGGATGCTTGAATTTATTACCCAGAAAGCTCCTTACTTGAAAAGAGTAGGATTTTTTTTTTTTTCCTACCAGCTGCTGGAAGTCCCCTTTTTAAAAATAATAGCTACAAATCTGCACTTTAAAAGTTCTCTTAAATGGTGGGGTGACCTATGGAGAACGAGGAGGCAGAGCAGGTACCTGGCCTTCAGGAAAAGGGGGGAAAAGGCAAGATAAAGGCAAAAAATGCCAATCAAATCAAAATGATGAGCCCATTAAATAATGATTTTCATTCAGACCTCACCTTTCACAGTTTTCACGTTTTTATGGTTAAATTCACAGGAAGCAAATTCTGCCCCTTCATCCCCCTCCCTCTTGCCCGTTATTAATTCCTGATATTTTGCCATAATTTTAGTTAAGGGGGAGGAAAAAAAAAAAAAGAGAGAGGAAAAAACCTGACCAAAAAAATCTTGCTGCATTGAGTCCCCTGAGAATGTTGGGTCGAGTTTTTTGATCCCTGTTGCTCATTGATTTGAGGGCTGATGTAGTGCAAGGGGTCCCTATTAGTGGCGTCTGTCACTGCTGTAATGTTTTTGTTATTTTTCCTCATTTGTTCGCTCTGACATCATGTCATTACAGAATGGTGCTGTTCAGGCCCTGCCTTGGCTGTTCGTTAGCGTGTGTTTAATGAGCAGCTTAATTGAGCTGTCTACTAGGCCACCTGTCACCCTCCGGACTTATTAACATACTAATGGCCTGACATTGTATTCTCTGACAGGCAACAGGGTTTACTGATTTGATGTCTGGACATGGGGATTTTATGCAGGAATGAGAGAGGATATTGGGAAGGAGGTTTAAAAACGCAAATTAACTCTTTGGGATCTCTGTATTTATGGCTCTGCTCGGAAAAGTTCAACACAAAGTGGTGGGGGAACGGCCCCGCTCGGGAGAGCGACTTTGTCGTCGCCATCGCAGCAGTTCCTGCAGCAGAAAATCTGCTCGGGGTAAGAGGAGCAGCCTTTACTTCCATTACAGTATTATTGTTGGTGCTGCTTCAAAGGAGAAATCTTCTTAAGCCCAGAGGAAAGTTTTGTGACTGGTCTTTTCTCTACTGTGGCTAAACAAATGAAAGGCACGAAATTTCCAGTTAAGGGATTTAAGTGCACGACATTGTTCCCACCTTTTAAAGCCAGATGAAGACATTCATCGCCAGTGAACACTGTGCTGAGCTGTAAAGGTTCAAAGCAATGGCTTAAGTGCATGCAAGTTTAATAAAAACACTTGTTTGGCTTTGCTTGTTTTTGGTTGTTGCTGTCGGTTGGGTTTTTCTGCGGCAGAGGAGAAGCAGAACCTTCTGTCACGGCAGAACTCGGGTTACAGGGCAGATAAAGACCCAGATGGGGTGGCTCTGAGTCCAGCCCTGCTGGAAATCCACCCCCTGTGCCCACGGGGGCTGTGGGTTTGGGTGGGAAGGGTTTTATTCTTCCCTGGAGGAAGAGCTTGGGCCGGGTGGGGGTCACCAGACCTTTCACTGTCCAGAGGAAAGAGAAACCCCCCCGTCAGCAGAGCCAGGGGAGGGCAAACCCCAGGGAATGGGTTTGCTGGGGGGCAGTAGGAGCTGGCACAGGACCCAGCCAAGGGCCTGAGGAGCCATTGGGAGCCACCCCAGGGAAAACACGGGGGAGGTTTTTGGGGTCCCAGAGCTGCCCAGCACCCCCCTGGGGGCTCCTGCAAATGAATGGGGACGTGGGGCAGGGACAGATGGACCATGTGGGGCAGGAGGGGTCCCCACTGACGCTGCAGAAGAGCTTGGGAACCACCTGAGCCCCTCAGGGCAGTTTGCTGACAGCAGCCAGCTGGGTTTGAACATAAACTTGGGTTTGAACATAAACTTGGGTTTGAACTGGTGTGGGCAGCAGGGTGAGGGAGGGGATTGTCCCTCTGTGCTCTGTCCTCCTGCGACCCCACAGCAGAGCTGCTTCCAGGGCTGGGGCTCAGCACAGGAGAGATGTGGAGCTTCTGGAGCAGGTCCAGAGGAGGCCACGGAACTGCTCCCAGGGCTGGAGCCCCTCTGCTCCAGAGCCAGGCTGGGAGAGCTGGGGGGGTTCACCTGGAGAAGAGAAGGCTCCAGGGAGACCTGAGAGCCCCTTCCAGGGCCTAAAGGGGCTCCAGGAGAGCAGGAGAGGGACTGGGGACCAGGGATGGAGGGACAGGACACAGGGAATGACTTCCCACTGCCAGAGGGCAGGGCTAGATGGGATATTGGGAAGGAATTCCTGGCTGTGAGGGTGGGGAGGCCCTGGCCCAGGTTACCCAGAAAAACTGTGGCTGCCCCTGGATCCCTGGAAGTGTCCAAGGCCAGGTTGGACGGGGCTTGGAGCAACCTGGGCTGGTGGAAGGTGTCCCTGCCCATGGCAGGGGTGGCACTGGATGGGCTTTGAGGTCCCTCCCAACCCAAACCACTCTGTGATTCTGTGATTTGTTTTATCTACCCCTGGTGGGTACCTGGATTATGCCTACATGTTATTTAACACCTCAGGACCAGCTCATTTTTGTAATCTTCCTTTCCTAAGACCTAAATCACACCTTCTGAAGTTCTGTGAGTCAAATAAGCTCATCAGAGACTCCAAGAGACAGCAAGTGAAATAATTTAGGTGTTGGACAAAGTCTCTGTGCCTTTCTTTTGCATTGGCAAAAAGCAGAATTGGCCCCTCTCAGGATGACAACCAAGAGTGGAAAACCTCCCCTCAGGAACTGCTGCAGTGGCTGCTGGACGAGGAGCAGAGCCAGCCTGTGCCAGCAACATGGGAGCTTTAGGGCAGATGAATTTCCTTATTGCTTTCCATTTTGTTAGAAAAGAGCTTCAGGCCTCACCTCTGCAGCTCCAAACGGTTTATTTTCAGTTTTAGGTAAAGCTGTTCGTTTCCAAATGCAGCACTTGAGCACTCCCCCTCTGATTTCAATTCCCAGCAGGATGCAGTTCCCTCCTGCCCCCTCCTCTCTTCCAGGATCCCCTGCACCCTCCCTGGGTGTTGAGCTTTGCAGTGCTCAGCTGAGTGACCTGAGCAAACATCTTTTCTTTCTGCTTCCCTGAGACCCTGCTGGGAGAGCTCAGGTCAGGGCTGGGCTGGGGTCACCCAGGGATGGACACGGATCCCGCCCTTGGCTGGGCCTGTCCAGGATCCTGAGCACACACTCAGGGTCTCAACTGGGAAACTGCTGCCTGGGGCTCATTCCTGGACAAACAGAGGGTAAAATATCGGGGTGTGAATGCACTCAGAAGGTCCCAGGTGAGGCAGTGAGGAGCTGGCTGCTCACAGCTGTGGGGAGCACGGAACAGACACAGGGAGAGTTCATGGAATCACAGAACATCCTGAGCTGGAAGGGACCCCCCAGGACCAGCCAGTCCAACGCCCCAAGAATCCCACCCTGTGCCTGAGAGCCTTGTCCAAATCAGACAGAAACACAACCTGGCCCTTTACATGAGCTCAGCTTCTTTCATTTCTGGGTTTAAATGATTTTGGAGCCAGAGACACCCCGTCCCCCCACCCCTCACAGCCCTGGGCAGGCTGAGGGGCTCTGTGGCCAAACCAACACCCCCCAGGCACCCTGACATGGGGTCAGGGGTCTGACAGCCCAAGTTTTACCTCCCTCTGCACCCAAGTGTCCGTGACTCAGAGGGTCAGAGCTCCTGGTGCCCCAAACCTGGGGAACCCTCACGTTTTCCTTGTTCCATGTCCTGGAGAGGGGAGTCCACAGGCACTGGAACCACCACGGGGCCTCAAGAAACTGGTCCCATGTGGATGAGAAATTTTTAGGATAAAACACTTGAATGGTTTCACAATTCCCAGAGTTCCTCGTGGGACAGAAGTGCCTGTTTCCCTTGGATCCGAAGGGGAGGGAATCTAAGGAGTCACCCCCTCCTTGCAAGAGTAAAACCACTCCTGGGGCACATTTCTCTGCATCACAGGGTGCCTCAATTTAGGAAATGGTGGGTCCTACTCCAGCAGCCTCTTTTCTGCTGGAAAAGTAGGGATTTGGGTTCAGCTGCCCCCCTGTATCCCCTGTGCCAGAGGGAACCAACACGGAGGAGCTCTTGGAGTGTTACAGTGACCACAAACACCCCAGAACAGCTCCTTACACAAACAGGGGGAGGGGTAGAAGCCTTGATTTCCTCACACTTTGGGATATATCCAGGTGGGATCTATCCAGGGATATGTGAAAGCAAGAAAAGTCTGGGAATAAGAGGTTAAAGAGGAATCTCGTGCATGCCTTAACTCTTCCATAAACTGAGACCTTCTCATTCCAAAGGGCTTCCCAGCATGACATGGACGCTCAGCTCCTTCAAAAGCAGGTAGGAGAAGGAATCCCTGTCCCTGCTTTGGCAGAGCCTGGGGTTTGCAGGATTGCTGGGCTGATGATGCCTCTGGGGAAGGATCTGCCACAGAATTCCACCAGCCCAGGTTGCTCCAAGCCCCGTCCAACCTGGCCTTGGACAGGGATCCAGGGGCAGCCACAGCTTCTCTGGGCAACCTGGGCCAGGGCCTCCCCACCCTCACAGGGAACAATTTGTTTTGTTTCTACCTTTTCCTTGCTGACATTGGTGCCCATAAATAGACAACCTGCACCCTACAAACATCCAGAGCCTGGTCTGGCCCAGAGCCCAGCCCTGCCCGAGACAGGAGGCAGGTCACAGACCTGGAACTAAACTCATCTGGCTCATGGGCAGCAAAACAAACAACATTTTTGTTCCTTTTAAACATCAAATCCCACAGGACTTCGAGGAAATGGGGGTGTGGCACCTCTTCTTTCCTACCCATGGAGAAGGAAAGCAGGAGGGAGGGTCACGGGCCTGTTGCAGGTGTAGAAGGAGATGGTGAAGTTAACAAAATAGGGAGGTCATGGTGCCAACCAGAGGTTTCCATAGGCCAGGTATCTGTTGTGCAGACAATGGAAATTCTCTTAAGATTTGGAATTTAAAATTAGAAACTCTCTTAAAAGGAAGGATCCAAAAAAACATTGGTTTTGAGGCCACTTGCAAACAAACAAACAAACAAATAATAAAGCAAAACAAAAATTAAAATCCTGGCACTACCTGTTGGGTTGATCAAGCTGTTCCACTCTTTCACCTTTTTAAGCTGCACTGTATTATAATGTTTCCAAAAACACAAAACCAGGGGAATTTGACACACAGAACCCTGCTGAGAACCCAATAAAAAATGAGAATGTTTCATTTCAAAAAGACCAATATGTCCATCCAACACTACTGGACTTTTCCCTCCTGCAGGAAAAGTGCAGCAAAATCAACTCGATTGATTATTTTTTTTTTTTGTCCCCAGAGTGGTGTTTGTCAGCCCAGCCACTTTATCCCATCAGATAAAGTTCAGGATGTCAGTCCCAGAATAATCAAGGATGGAAGAGACCTTAAAAATCATCCAGTCCCACCAGCACCACCAGAAGCAAAAATATGACAAAAGTCATGACTTGCAAAGTGCTGATTATGCCAAACCAGCAACCCGACTGTCATTTCCAAAAGAAAAACACTTAAACCCCCCAGAAGTTGTCCTGGTGAAAGGGTTTCATTCACAGGCTGAGGAGCACGAAGAGCAAGGAAATCCCCGGGACATACTGACTTTTTGCCTCAGGGTTATGACTCAAAACCAGACTCTCCTCTTGTCTCTTCATTGGTTGTTTCTTTTGCCCGTGATCTGATGCTCACTCTGATCATTTCCACGAGGCACTTCACTGCCTCCTTCCCAAGCAGGTTCCCATTGTTTTTGGGTAATTTTCCACATCTTCCTTACACTGTGAAATCACAGAATATCCTGAGTTGGAAGGGACCCCCAAGGATCATCAAACTCCAGCTCCCGAAAGGTTTGGTGGTTTTATTTTGCTTGTTGAAACAAGATGCTAGACAGCAATGCCCTGGAGAGGAAGATCTGAAAATAGATTTATCCATCCCCTAAAAATGGACTTCAGTGACATCCCTCTTTCCAGTGGTGGGCCTGGTTTCAAACAGCCACATCCACCCTCCTGCAGGAACGAGAGAAACAACCAAAGCTTTGCAGATGGATCACACATCCTCTGTGTCACCCTCTGCAGAAACCTTCCAACAAAGCATTCAGGAAGTCTTTGTCCCACCTCAGGGGTAGTTCTGCTCCCAGTGTTCCTTTCCCAGTCCCTTTCCACCTTCCCTGGATGTGGAGCTCCATATCCCACCTTCCCTGGATGTGGAGCTCCATATCCCACCTTCCCTGGATGTGGAGCTCCATATCCCACCTTCCCTGAATGTGGAGCTCCATATCCCACCTTCCCTGGACGTGGAGCTCCATATCCCACCTTCCCTG